ATAATAATAATAATAATAGAGAGCATTTGTATAGCGCATATCCCCGCTCAACAGCAGGCTCTATGCCCTTTACACTATATTATATACTGTTTTACATGTACTACATTTTTTTTAAAGGGGAGGGGGTGGGGAGGTTATATTGGGACGTTACAGTCAGAAGAGATGCCAAATCACTAAAATGTTACTCGAACAAACATTACTTTTTTCCCCCTTCACCTAGCTTTTGTAGCCCAAAAGCCCCGTTTCTCAATTTATAACATAGGGCCAGTATATTTGACTATGACAATGACAATTTTTATTCATCTCGCAGGGAGAAGTTAGTCGTTAAGAATGGCAGTAGACGTTACAAAAGTTATACCTAAAGGTGCACTCACGCGCAAGCACAACATGTTAGAACGTTGTCCTCTGAAATCGATTTAAATGTTCGGCTAGGCGCTTTAATTCGCCTCCTATGATCTAAATTGTGTCGTTGGGGACGTTAAAACAGCTGCATTAATTATTATTTTTCCACAGGCGGAGGTCGGAGCTGTGGTGGGCCAGGTGAACGCCTCGGACGCCGACAAGGGCATGAACTCTGCCGTGACGTACCAGTTCAGCCCCACCAGGAGCTCCGGTATGAGCAATCTCTTCTACATCGATTCCCACAGTGGAGAGATCAAGGTCAAGAGCCCGCTCCAGTACGAGGCGGGAAAAAGTTTTGAGACGATCGTCATCGCCAGTGACAGAGGGAACCCGCCGAGGGTGAGAGCGGTTGTTGTTGTTGTTTATTTGTTTGTTTTAGTAGAGGTTTTACGGCGCTCGCAACTGTATACGGTCATATGAGCGCCAAGGGGTGGATGTCAACAGAGAAGCCCTTACAGAAAACCTCTAGCTTGAACAGCACAAAGTCTGCTTCGACTATTAAGGCACCCCGGAAGTAGGGGGTCACAAGAGTTTGACAAACATACAAAAGAAGTGGAGCAGTTCAGGCACTGTTATGGGCATGACATTGATGAATCAGCTCATTTACAATTACGATTCTACTGTGTATAAGAACATGGTTAATGTCCGCCTAAAGACACTTCAGTCAGTAGCACCGTCCCCGGGGGGGG